ATAAATAAATAAATATAGTATATATGCAAAATGTATAAAATACAGATGCGATATATGTAAATGCAAAAAATACATGCAATGTAATAAATATGTAGCTATAAAATATAAAATAGGCATAAAATAATTGATTTATTTTATGAGCTGATCATAGTAAAGCATTGGATAATAATAAATATTCTTTTTTTTTTTTGTTCTTGTGTTTTTTCTTTTGCTGATACTAATTCTTTTTTTTTTCCTCTCTAGAATTAGAACCTTTGGCCTTGGTAATTCACAATAGACTTTTCAGATAGCTTCTGGTAAGTTGATATTTTCATCCATCTTGTTCTTTCATTTTTTGCTTCATTTTTTTTTTCTCCAAAATTAGAATTGGGAACCTGGCATACAACCTTTGGGCTTTGCTTGGTGATTCACGATACTTGTTAGATCACTTCTAGTAATTCAGTATTTTTCTGTCGTTCTTGTGTTCTTCTCATCTTTTTACTTGGATAATAATAATAATAATTTTTTTTTTCAGGACTTAAAATTTGGAACCTGGCCAATGACTTTGGGTTTTATTTGGTGATTCACGATAATTTATTGATTAACTTCTAGTAAGTTGAATTTTTCTTCCGTTCTTTTTGCTTTTGCTTTTTTTTTTTTTTTTCCTCTGGACTTAAAATCAGGAACCTGACCAATGACCTTTGGGCTTTACTTGGTGAATCACGATAACTTTCAGATCATTTCTGGTATATTAGTAGTTTTTTTCGTTTTTGATACTAATATATTTGTTTTTTTTTATAAATTTACTTGGTGATTCATGATAACTTTTAGATTATTACTGGTAAGTTGGTATTTTTCTTTCGTTCTTGTATTTCTTCATTTTCACTTTTGATGCTTATTTATTTATTTTTATTCTCTCTGGGCTTTGAACTAGGAACATGGCCAACGACCTTTGGCTTTACTTGGTGATTTAATAGTTATTGATCATTTCTGGTAAGTTGGTATTTTTTTCGTTCTTTTGCTTTTTGTATTTGCTATTATTTTTTTTTTCTTTTTGCTTTTGATATTAATGTTCTTTTTTTTTCCTTTCTGGATTTAGAATCGGAACCTAGCCAATGACCTTCGAGCTTTACTTGGTGATTCATAATTACTTATTGATTAATTTCTGGTAAGTTGGTATTTTTTTCTTCCGCTCTTGTGTTCTTTTCACTTTTGATATTAATGTTCTATTTTTTTTTTTTTTTTTTTCTCTGTGCCTTAAATCGGGAATCTGGCCAACAACCTTTGGGCTTTACTTGGTAATTCATAATAACTTTTTGGATTATTTAGGGTAAGTTGATATTTTCTTTTATTTTTGTGCTTGCTTCAATATTAAAACTCTTTTCTTCCTATGTGGCTTAGAATCAGGACCCAGCGAACAAGCACCATAATAGAAAGATGAGATGAAGTAGGTCACACCAAAATGTGAACTTTGAAGAGAATTTAATAGAACGTGAAATTGTTGAAAGAGAAACAATTGAAGTAGGTTATGTCGATATATAAACTAGAGGATGCATGAATTAATGAGATTATATTGTTGTCAATATGATCTTGCGGTGCTATAGTGGTGTTTGGGAGCATAGTGTAGTACAAAATTTGGGGTTTTGTCATTATGGCATAACAGTTTTGTAAATTGCGCTACATTATTATTATTATTTTTTTTTTATAATAAAGTTATTTTTTTTATTTTTTTATTATTATTAATAAAAAATGATAATTTGAACCGGTTTTAACTTATAAAAATAGAATCGGTTTCAAACTCTAGTAGTAATTCCATGATCAAATTTGATTGGTCGATCACAGGGTTGCCATAGTGACAAGTCGCTAAAAAATAACACCCTATTTTTAATATATTATAATTTAAATATAAAATTATTATTATATAATATTAATATAAATAATATATCATTAATATATTATTGAAAATATAATATTTTAAATATATTTTTATTATACTTTTATTATATTTTTTTTTATATAATTAAACTTATTTAAAACTAAAATATAAATATAATATAACAATAATATATTTATAATATTTTTAATATATTATAAAATTATTATTATATAATATTAATATAAATCTATTTTTGTTAATGTAGGGCTGATTTAAAATAGTATTAATAGCTTATTTTATATAATTACAAAATAGCATTGGGAAAATTAAATAAGTGCAAATTTGTATTTTTGTAGAGCTTTAGAGAATTGTTGTGAAAAATCTGCAAAATTTTTAGAATTTGAAGTTTTGCACAGAACTCCATTTAATTTCTGCATTTATAGTATCAAATTTGAAGTTTTGTACAGATTTTTATTTAATTTGTTATTTAATTTTTTTGCAAATCTGCACAGGACTGCAATAAAAAAATTTTCCGATGAGTGTTACTATTGAAAGAGTGTTAGTTTCTTGCTAATTGATTTTATTATATATTTTTATTGCTTGTCAGAGTAGACATACACCCATCCAAACCCCTAAGACATGGGGGAGGTGAAAGCAACTACTTATTAAACTCACCTAGATTATCCTACGGAATATAGTCCAATTTCTTACTTTTTATCTCTCTCTCTTTACTACTTTACAGTAGAACCAGGGTAGTTGTATTACTTCATTATAGAAGGGAAACACTCTTGCTTATCGCATATACAAGCGAATCATATGCATTGAGTATAGCCTAGTTTTTGGGCATTCTCAAGTGCCTCAATTAATAAATTTTAATTAACGAAAAGTAATTTTTAATCTATCAATCGAACTTGTCATTAAGATAAGTGAGATAGTTTATTACATGAAAGAAAAATTTTAAGTAGTAAAAAATGAACAGTGAGTTTACCATTTTAGTCAAAAAACTTTTTTTCCCAAATTACCTTTTTTTGCGCTGACTTATCAAAACTTTATAAATATTAAAATAAATAAAATATTTTTCAAGTGTTTTCATGCTTTTTATTATAGATTTTCATAATTGACACACATTTTTTGTAAAATATTCAACAAACTATTTAGAATCATCTCAAGCTACTACAATTATTAGAAAATCATAGTAATAGTAATGTTTGAGCATATCTCAATAATATCAGTATTCATATTATTGATTTTTATCCAAAATGTTATGGCAATAGCCATAATTATATAATAAAACTTGTGCACTATCTCAATCACTATGAATTCACATCTAGGTTGATATTTAAGAATACCCTTCATGAGGAGAGTATCTTTTTGCATTGTTTATAGAACATAATTAGAATTTTTAATATGTTTACAAAACAGGGAAAATATATTAAATATACAGAAGTTCTTATCATAAATAAAAATGTAACCTAATCTTTGACCAAAACAAATGAGAAGGTCTTATAACATATAAAGTCCTGAAGCCAAGGCTAGATGCATTCTCTTTTAAAGACTACTGGGAAAACTATACTTCTAAGTGCACCAAATTTTAAGAATGTGCAATTAAGAACAATATAAAAAAGTGCATTTACAGAGGTATATACAGTATAAGTTTGGGCCCCAAACTTGAGTGTGCATTTAAGTGCTTTTATGGAGGTTTTACTATAATACAATTTAACTCACAATTCCTACTTTCTTTTTCCCCACAGTAGCCTTGTGATATCCTTTAGCCATGGCTAAATTAGAGATTGGAACCGGTGAATAATTTTTCGAGCATCAGTCAAAAATTTCAAGCATTGAAAATAAGCTTTATTTACTGAGTTTTTAATTTAGATATCATCAAGTATCAGTGAATGTTAAAATTTAACTATTTGTTTTGATAATGACAACATAATGATACATTTTTTTGATTGAAATTTAACTTTGATAATGATAACATGATTATATAATTGATAAATTATATATTAAAAATGTATTGATAGTACAATTGATAATATTACTAAATTTTTTAAAAATTCATCAAACATTCAAACATCGGTCAAAATTTTTTCACCAATGCTTAAAATTCGAAAGTTTGGAATCAATAAATGCTCAAAATTCACTGGTTCCAATCTTTAGGCTAAATTAAGAAACACAATAAGTAACTAAATTTGAATCTGTCAACCAACCAGTTAAAGTGTTAGGGTCCCGCAATAATTATCAGCTGACTTTAAGCAAGATAAATAAAGTCAGAAAAATTAATATTTTCTAATAGAAGTTTGTTAGTTTTGTATTAGTTTTGAGTAATTTAAATGAGACTGATTTTTCTGACTTTATTTATTGGACGAATACCGGTTAAAAATGCCAATTTTTTACAAATATTGCTCAAAGTCAGCAGGCGATTACTGTGGGACCGATTAATATCACTAATGATTACAAAGATAATTAGTGGTGGTAATTATGACAATCCATTATACAAAAAAACAGGAAACTAATATCAATAAGGAATAAGGGAAATGATAATTACAAGATAATTATATAAAAATTAAAATTAAGGTGCAGCTAAGTTACAATAAGAACTGTTGGAGCCTGGGGCCTAGATATTTAATTATTAGATTGTTTAATCTTTGTATTTAGATACGTTTTTTTAAGTTACTTAATTCACCAATTTTATATATAGTACACTATTTGAGTCTTAAGTCAGAAAACATGTATAGATGAATGAATAAATTTCTTTACAAATAATTCATTATTTTTGCTTCATAATTACATACAATATAACAACTTTAAGTATAAAAAATGCAGAGAATAACTTCATATTAATTACCTCATATTACAGAAAAAGAAATTATCACTCTAAAAGTTCCTGCACTGGTAACAATCCTATGATTCCAAGCTTAGTCGGAATTTCTAGATCTATGGTATATTCATCGAACTTTCTAATTACATTTTGGGTATCTTTTTCATCATCTTGAGTGATGAGAATAGCTTTAACAACTTGATGTACAAAACCACCAAGTTTTGTACAAATTGCAGAATTTTTCTTTAATTTCTTTTGATCGGTTGCTTTTAAATACATTTGTAGCAATTGTTTCCATATATTGTCAGAAATAAATTCACTTAATTAATTAATAGTGTGAAATTTCCGTATGATGAATATAATTAAATATTATTTTAAATATTGTCTTCACAGACCTTTTATAAATCAACTTGAATTCATTTGACAATTTCACTACAGCAGTGTGAAAATTATAATGGTACATATTGTACTATCCACTGACGTTCTTGGTCAAAGACCTCAATCTTTAATCAGTTTTTGTAATTTTACAAACTTTCGTAATAATTACTTTATATAATACTGTACTGTTGTTTCTAGTGTGGAGAAATAGTGCCTTATATTCATCTTGCAATTGAAGTTTTATATGCTAAACTCAAATAATAGAATATTAGTATGATACAAATTTACTTATATAGTAAAACCATACTATTTCTTATATGATCAATTTCTAGAAGTTTTGATATGGAATCGTGCAATGGGGTAGAAGCCAGATCCTGTTTTTTATCATCTATTTTTGTCATCATTCCGTTTCTAATACTATTCGCTAAATCCAATATTCTTTTAAAATGGGCTAGCCACAAAGCAATTTCAAACTCATTATCTGTTTGTTGAAATTGTGCTGGTCGTTTTGGTTGTAGATCGCCTATTATTAAAATTAAAACATTAGAACTAACAAAAAAAAATTTTTTTATATAGTAATCAAAATATCATACCCAAAGAAGAAATCAAGGAAGACAAAATAATATCATCCCCACAAACTGATAAAGAATTTGGAAGAGGCGTCACATTATCATTTCTGTGAACTGATAAAAAAACTAAAAGAGGTCTAATAGCATCATTATTTTTGTAAGATGACGAAGAAACTGGAAGAGGTACAAGATCATCATCACTTCCATGATCTGTTGAGGAAGCTAAAGATGTAGTGTTTTCATTTTCTAATGTAGGATTATTAATATCATCATTTCTCTTTTTGTTTCCTTGATTTGCTATTTCAAATGTGGCATTATTGCTCTCATTGTTTCTTTTGTTTGGCTAAAATAATGATTCATCGGGCAACTGCTTTTCATAAACATATTTAAAATTTAACTAATGTGTTAGATTTTTTGAATGCTAAACTTACAGCAGAGCTTGTAATATTATTATTTTGTTGTTCTTGATTGTTTTTTGGTAATCTTTTTAGAACCAAACTTGTAGCAGAACTTGCATCTTGTTGACTTTGATTGCGTGCTCTCTTGGAGGTTGAATTTATAGTGGCATTGCCTAAAGATTAATAATAAAAAAATCGGTCAAATTGATTTAAAATTTCTACAGTAATCTTTTTTAACACTAGTAAACTAAGTGATGTTCTTATATAACATGCCTGATTGCTTTTTGTTCGTTGCTTCTTTTTGTGGTTTCAATTCTAACATAAAAAATATATTAAAGAAAATTGTAAATTCCTTTGAATTTAAAACTTTAATTTACCAAATATTTGTTTAGCATTAGGCATTTTTGATATGGGTTAAATGATGTAGTAGTACTATTGAAGGTATATATTTTTGTTATTTTTTTCTTTAGTTATTTACTCTTTCGATCTTCATGAGAAAATAATTTTATTAGCTTAAGCTAAAAATAGTCGAATCAACCCTTTTTTGCCTTTAAATACATATATTTCCATCAATATTTTTATTATATCGTTATTATATAATAATTAATCATGCATTCAGATAAACTAGAGCATGGTTCAAATTTCCAGAATAGGCAGAATCACGAGTACATAAAGATAGATAGTTCATGTAAATTTTCATGATGCATAGCTAGATCCTGTAATATTATAATAAAAATTAGAATATTTAATTGATTTTAATAAAACTTTAAATTTAATCATTTACATACTGTACGGACATAATGCATTTGCAGGAGGCAGGAGGCATGAGCATTATGCGCATAATGTCCATCTCTAATCATGAGAAACTAAATAGTTACAACTGTTAATATTGATTATTTAAAAGTCTAATAAATAATTTCTAATATTATAGAGATTTTTTTTTTAGATTACTTATAATAACAGGTAATAAAAAAGAGCAGAATTGGTCAGCGAAATTGGTCAAACAATTGAATTATCTCTGTTAGACCTACCAATTATCGCTGCGATAACTAATAAGTGAAAATATAGAAACAAATTACTCTTTATAAATTGCCAAAATGAAAGGTTTAATTTCATGTAAAATCAAAGAAAGTAAAATATAAAGTTGAAGAAACTTCTACTTTGGAAATCAATAGTCTATTTTCTGAGGAAAGTTCAGTTGAAGAAACTGAAGTCTTGTCAACTACTAATTATATTTCGCCAGAAGTATTATAAATTTTTTTTTTTGTATTTTAGCAAAAACCAAATTTTGCTTATGTATACTTTAACATAAAATGTTACTACATAATTATTTTAAGTCTAGAAAAATGCTTGATCCTGAGAGTATTGATAACTATCAATCCTCGCAGGCATTATTAGTTGACAATATGGAAGCTTCAATTGGTACAACAAATCTGATATAAATTTGATATATGAAATTATAAATAATGAACAATCATATATAGAAGCGTCAATAGATTCGTCAATAGATTCTTATGAATCAGATGTGAAAGATTCTGTGTTAGAAGATATGTTTTCTAATATAGAAGCTTCAATAGATAGTGATGAATCTTATGAATTGGGTGGAGAAGATTCAACAAATAATGTATTAGAAGATATGTCTTCTGAATTTAGAGAGTTTGATGGCGAATATGGGCCATATTTTCCAAACTTTACATCTGCAATGATATTTATCTGGATTACGAAGCATATGATTTGTAAATAATGTTAATCGATATTTGAGTCAAAAATTTTTTTAATTTTTATTAACAATTAATATATGTGTAGCAACCTCTGTGTATGAAGATCTCATAAAGATCCTCACTTATTCTGAATATCGAAAAGAAGATGTTGCTACAAATATCCGGCAGATTCGGGAATGGAGAAATAGGTTGCCTTTAGTCAAAACATGCCAACATAACGTACCTCTCTGTGTGAACTAAACTCCATCAACTTATGAATCTATAAAAAAAGTATTCACTATTTCTCCATTAACACACTTAGAATGTGTTTTAAACAACTCAGTACTCATATCAAAAATGTATTTTGGCCCTGGTGTTGTTACGAATAAAAAGCGAGAATTTTGGTATGGAGAATTATGGCAGGATTCATTACTGTTTGGTGAATACAAAATAAAAAGTAATGATGATAAAGGTTTGTTTTATCAAATTTATCAAATCTATTGTTATATAAAAATAAATAAATAAAATAAATAAATAACTTGTTGTATTGTTTATTAAAATTATACAAAGCTGGTAATTTTTTAATTATTATGAATGTGCATCATTAGTTATATGTCGAGTATATGGAGTGGTAGTAAATAAAATGGATAATAATCGATATAAGTTAAAAGTTGATCGAGCTCTTTTACATGAAGACCTTCCTAATATTCGTCCTACTGATAATTGGCATGTTCGTGGAGATGAAAAAGAATTATGGTTAATTGAAGGAGAATCAATATTGATTGACACTGCAAATATAGAAAGACATATTAATGTTTGGTTGGTTGACATGCCAGAGCTTTTAGAGTACGAATATTTTATTAAGGAGATTGTATATCGTTTCAGCAGCAGATGGAAATACCGTAGCATAAAACTGCAACATAGATTGCTTTGCGAAAATGTTACACTTATATTACCACTACAATACTTGCCCATTTTAAAGATTTTTCTTGATATTTATGTCGATGATTTTGGTACTTACAGAAATGTGTACCATTCGTTAGGCAGTGTTTGAAAACAATTAAAAAATCATTTTTTAATTGGTTTCATTCCATTTGGGGCCACTTTCGATGATTTTATTAAACTAGTTATTCAAGATATAAAATGTTTGGAAAGTGGTTTTATTATGAAAACTTTGATTGGTGACAATTGGGTCATGGGTGGGATTGGATGTATTACATCTGACCTGCCACAGAGAAATGATTTGCAAGTTATAGTTGCCAAACTTGCAATGTGCCAAATGATCAGTATACTAATTTTGATTATAATTATGTACAAAATGCTCATTTTCACCAGCAAACAAAAGAACAGTTTATAAAGATAGAAGGTTAACATTCTAAAACTAACAAGAACTGATTAGAAGTTGAGTATGGTCTGGCTAAGCCAGGACCATTAAAGACACTTAAATGGTGATTAAATTTTTTTTTGTTAAAAGTTAAACTACATATAATATATATCTTTTATATATATTAAGGGATCGGCATATCTAAACACTGCAAAATGCATACCACTCCATGGCTGGAAAAGCACGCACTCTTTTAGAAGCAACATTTAATATATTTAATTTAAATAGAGAAAATGCTTTTCTGTATCACTGGAAAAACATAGAAAAACCTGCTTATTGGTGTCGAATACTCAATCCCTTACGTCACCGCCAAAGTTTCATATTTTCTAACATGTTGAGGCTCGTGATGCTAATGTCTTTCATACTTCGAAGATTTTTAAAGCCCCATCATATTAGAACAGAAATATTAAACAATTGAAATATAAAGCAAAATTTAGCTGTATCTAGGTTATGTACTTGTTGGGCAATTGAAGCCAAAGTATTAAAACTTGTATTCTCTCTTTTTATGACAAAAAATAGATACCAGGAATTGCAAGAATTACTTGAAAGTGAACGTGAAACACTATTACAAGTAAGTAATCAAAGTTTCTAATCTATTATCGCTATGCCTTATTTATATTTGTGTACAACTTTTGCATTGAGGGGTATTATTGCTTTTTTTTTTCTTGGATTAATCAGGACGGCCCCTAACATTTGAGTTATATAATACTGTATATGCTAGGTAGTGATCCTGGCCGATAGTGAAAAAAAATCAGCTAAAGCAAATTATCGGCAGATCGATTTGGTATAGTCAAAAGATGCCATTATGTGGAAAAAATGAATGACCTCTAAAATATGAGCAAGATTGGGATAGTAAATTCTGAATAAAGAACAAAATTAAATTGTAAGTTAGACCAAGCCGATGAAATTTATCAGCTTGGTCATAGCCAAAAATTATGCGCGACCAGGATTACTAATGCTAGAATGTCCAGAATTCTACAATTTTATATTTTTCTACACATAATTGTACAGATTTTTACAGCTATTCCGGCTAGCACTACTGGTATTATTAAGCAGAGAATTTTGATTGACTTATAACAATCGTCAAATATTAAGTTTTCATTTAAGGCTGATCTGGATTCTCCAAATTTGACAATTTCGGTGAATTCAACAAATTCAGCAAATTCACCGCAGAATTTGCAATTGCAGAATTCTGGACACCCTAATATTACCATTGTAATAGTATTTATTTAATTATCTACAATAGTTTATACACTGTCACGTGACCCAAACTTTAGAGTGGATAAAATTCTATTTTTCATTTATGTATAGCAATAGAAAAAAGATATATAGATTTTTTTTAACTAGGCCATATTCAAGCTAATTAGCCTAACGCTAAATTAACACTTAAATCTGAATAATAATGGTTGAATATGCATTCATGCCAAGTTCGCATGTATATTTTTTTACGTAGTATATACGTACTATATATATTATATGTATCATACGTATAATTTTTCAAATTTTTTTAATCTATTTTTTATCATTAATCTATTTTTATTAGCTATTTCCAAATAAATTTACAAATCTGCCAAATTTGTATGTAAATGTACACCTTTCGCAGCATGCTCAAAATTTTGCGACACTAGTAAATACTGCCGGCAGCATAAAAGAGATGGTATATCGCATATTTAAAAATATGGTGCCGCATACGAACCGTAAGGCAATTGAACTTGATCTTACTCGGCGCTATAATACAATACAAGCATTATGACATCTTATTGATGGCTAGGTAGATCCTCGATTTAATACACAAACTAATGCGATAAATAATCTTGCAATGGATTCAAGCCTTCACACAATATTATCAGGCTGGTATGCTACAGAAAGTCAATCAGTTTTTATAAATAATCAAAGTGTTGAAAATGATAATGACAGTAAGTATATTGATTTACTAGTAATAAAGTCATTATTATTTATTAATTTAGATGTTTTTCATAGATACCACTATAGTATATCACGATCAAAGCATTATTAACATTTCACTTGGTAATAAGTGGAATAAAAATAAAGTTGAAAGCGTAGGCATATCAAAGAATTTAGATGCTAAACATCCATTTTTTCAAGACCTTTTTAATGCATATGCCGATTATTTAAATTTAGATTTTGCATTGATAAACAGAAAGTTGGAATTTTATAATTCGATTACATATACCGTATTTGAAAGTAATCAAGATTCAATCCGGATAAGTCTTAAAGTTGGTGATTTTGTGGATCTGCTTAAAGAGACTGAAGGCATTGTGTATACTAGAATTGTGTCGATTTTTCAGCATCAAGCAAATAATAGTCAATATCATGCATTTTTTTTATTTAATTGGTTTCAGGCAACGAACAATCTTGATTCTATATCAGAATGTCCAATTTATCATATCCAAAAGCCTGAAGAATCACGTTGGGCTAGAATCTTTCCAATTAATTTTATTGATCATATTCTTTACGTACATTTTATACACAATTGTACAAATATATGTATTAGTAACGGTGAGCATGATGAGACCAATCGAAGCTATATTTTAAATAAGTTTTACTATAGTGCTGTATGAATTAAATACGTAGTGCAAAAAATTATATATTTTATGTAGTTGGTAGTGCATTAATCGCCATAACGATTTTTTTTATTTTAGTATGTATAGTACAGTACGTTTGTAAATTTCCTTTTGTCAACTATCCTGTACTTTCTATTTTTCTTTGTGAAATGAAGATATAACAGAAGCATGACTTTCTCTATACAGAACTAATATAAATTTTAGTTCATTCATTATAAAAAAGTAAGTTTAATAAGTATATAGAGTTTCAGATATAAGGTCTAGAGATTGGAACCGGTGAATTTCGAGCATTCATTGATCCCAAACTTTCGAATTTCGAGCATTGGTGAAAAAATTTTGACCGATGTTTGAATATTTGATGAATTTTTAAAAAATTTAGTAATATTATAAATTATACTACTATCAATACATTTTTAATATATAATTTATATCAATTATATAATTATGTTATCATTATCAAAGTTAAATTTCAATCAAAAAATGTATCATTATGTTGTCATTATCAAAACAAATAGTTAAATTTTAACATTCACTAATACTTGATGATATCCGAATTAAAAACTCAGTGAATGAAGCTTATTTTCGATGCTTGAAATTTTTGACCGATGCTCGAAAAATTATTCACCAGTTCCAATCTCTAGTAAGGTCAACAAAGCTTATAAAATTTAGGTTTAAAAGTGAAGCCCCTTAACAATTTAACAAATTTTTATGAACTAAATATCGTTAGAAATTTTTAACAAAATTGGCGCGCCGCAACCCTTGATCAGTTCCTTTGATCAGTTCCCGTAATCAAGATCTAATTTTAATAAATAAGATTTCTTTCATTTATTAGTGATAAATTTCTTTTCTTTTTTTCTTTGCTTATTATAGTTTGGTGCCCTTCGTTAGTCCTTCGTTTCTTGTTCTAGTTCTTATTATAAACTAATGTTTTTTACCCTTCTTATTTTTGAGATTAATTTGTCGCTTGTTCTTTTCTCTTATTTTCAAATATTTAATGTCTGATTTTTGACAGATTCAGAATTTTTGATTTTCGTTGTTCTATTTTTATACTGTAGTTGTAATCAAGATTTTGTGTTTTAGTAATACGACCTATCTTAGCAGCTTTCAGATTAAATGAATACTTGGTATTCTTCCTTTTCACATCGATAGTGCTCACAAATACTGAACATTCCATTTTTATAGTGGTATCCAGGGATCTTTTAAACAGTCTCAATAATGAACGCTTCAGTTCATCAACACCAACTTCACCTTGGTAATGAATATGTCCTACATTAGCGGATTTCTAATATTATTCGAACGTTTCACTTTCATCATTTTAGCATTATTAATATTCTCATTTCTATAATTAATTTGAATAGGTATATATCGCAGAGTCCAAGGTTTCATTATCTATTCAAGTTACTAGTTACTACATCAGCGTTTTTTTTATATATCATTTGGACGTTATATTCTATTTTATTTTATTTATATATCACTATTAATTAAACCTCAACTTGGAGATTTATTCAATTAGGGTTCTCTTTGCTTGGACGTTAAACTTCCAGATAAGTAGTTTTTTTGCAAATTCTTTCAAATTGCTTTTTATTTTTGTTTTGAGCATTATTTTTATTCTTTTCTTTTAAGTTAGATTGCTTAATACCTCTCTTGTCATGGTTTAACTTCAAACTTCAACTCTATACACTCCAAATATAAGTACCGGGCTCCTTTCTTTTCATTTCAGTTTATTATAATGGAGGATAGAATGGATCAAGGTTTATATAGACTGGAGTCAATGAGTAGCTAGTTTTCTTTTCTTGGTGTAAACTGCCCTTCAGAGCAAATATTTTTAATTTGTTTTTGTTTTAGAATGTTTTTACTTATTTCTTTTGGTAGGTCATTATCGATATAGAGTGATTTGTGAATACCATGAAACCGATAAGTATTGGATTATTATTATAGTTTAATGTTATTTTATATTTTTTAATTCTTTATTTTTGTTGAGGTTAATTTTTTATTTTCGTTGAGAACGATTTTTTAATATATTATAGTACAACTAAACTGATCGGGTTTGGGACGTGAAAGACCAACTGCTTAGAATTTGACATTGTGTAAACTTATTCGAAGCTAAGTTAATTTTTCTCTTGTATCAAAAAAGGTGTTGAATGAATGGAATGAGTAATAATTAGGACACATGGAAGGACATAAAGTGAGACTTATTTCAGGAACAAATATATTAATCTTCAATGTTGAGTTTCTCCAAATAGACTATTTAACTTCGATATTATGTTTGAGATATCTCAGTCTATATACTCTATTAGTATG